GTCTCTGCTGGAATTTGGACCTGAGACATCATGACTCTCAACTACTTCATTTACAAGTAGTAGATGAGTCTTTAATTTTCTACCTGACATGTTTAAGACTAAAGAATATTTTGATGCATTTTATGCATCTTTAATTTAAGCTCACACGATTCAAAAGCTTACTTTCTTAAACTCCGTATCAAATCAAAATCAGACAAACAAACAAATTGAAACGAAAGGAGTACCTATTAACAATGCTTCAATCCCAAAATACTTGAGGTCCATTACTTATCTAATTACTACTTATAATCAGCTAATCCCAGTTATATGAATACAATTTGAGCTAACAATCAGCAATACCAAAGGCAAAAACACATTTTTTATTAAAATTTTAATAAAATGAAACATCAAAAGATAGAATTTAGTTAAATGGGTCGATAACTAACTGAAGAAAAAATGAATACCTGATACTAGAAAAATTGGTGAGGAAGAAAGGGCGAGCTTCCATTGATGAAAATTATCAGAGCTAAAAGAAGTTCAAAAAAATTATATCAATTATTTATGAAACCTCAAAATATGAGGAATATGGGAGAATAAAAGAGTTTTTTTTTTTTTTGCTGCTCAAAATATGAACAGAGGCAACAATAGAAAATTCTTGAAATAGGGAAAAGAGAGGAAAATAAAAATGGTAAGTAGCTTTTTTGGTTAATATGGAAAGAAAAAATATTAATTTTTTCTAGATTTGGGACTAATTAATGTATAATAACAAGATAAGTGGAAAAAATTGGCTAATTTTGCTCCTTTTTGGACCCTATATGTAGTGGGGAAAAAAACTTTCTTATTTATATTTTATTATTCGATAAGTAAAACAATATTATTTTTAAAGTATTTATATGTAATACAGTAAAATCAATTGAATTATTTGGATAATTTACTTATTTTTGTGGAAATTAAAAATATATAATATTTTATTGATTAAATTGAATTTAAAATTCTAAATTCGAAAAAGGTAAATAATTATATTAAGTGCATATTTTAAATTTATATGGAGTACTAATTATCCATTGGAGTAATTTTGTGATAGAGTATTTGAAAGAGTCAAAATATTACTAACAAGAATATAGTAGAATACTAGAATGGTTGAAATTCCTTCGATAGTTTAGCTTAAATGGAAAATATTATATTGGAATTGTCACCTCCAAGAATGGATCATGTAATATGTGAATTTAAAATTAATTAGAAGAAACAAAAAAAAGTTAAGATTTGTATACTTTTTATTTTTTAAATTTGAGGTGAACTAGTTTCACTACTCTTTAAGTCAAGGGTATATCGGAAAACCTCTTTATCTTTCAAGATAGAAGTAAAGATTATGTACACACTACATTCGTCAAATTTCACTTATAGAATTGCACTAAATCTATTATTGTTGTAGATTTGAGATGAAACAGTCTTAATACAAATGCTTTATCATATTCCTATGTTCAATCGAAAAAAGTCATGATTCGAGTGTCTAAATAAATTTGCCAACAAGTTTAAAAAACAATAAAATGACCTATTTGGTTGGAAACCAATCATTCAAATTAATTATCCCGAGATTAGTTATTCAAGGATAGTTAATTCATCCTCAATGTGAGATAAAAATAACACTACAATCTTAGAATAAGTTATTTCACGATATTATCTCAACCAAACATGAGATGGACTCATGCTACACGATTAATTATTCTTTATCTCTCGTACCAAACGATGCATGTATATATATATCCCCTAAGTTATTTCACAATATTATCTCAACCAAACATGAGATAGACTCATGCTCATGATTAATTATTCTTTATCTCTCATACCGAACGGTGCATGTATATATATATATATATCCTCTAATTGAAAGGGGTTTTAGGAGGGTTTATCTTCCCATGTTTACCCGCCGTTTAACCACTCAAAATTTCTGTTCATTTCACAATGCACACCAACTGTTTGATACAATTACTAAACCAGCTCTTATCTCCATTCACCATTCCATGCTCAATTATATACAGCAAAACCGCAAAGTTGAAGCTCTTAAGCTCTTCAAGAATCAGCTCCAAATGGGTATATCAGAAATTGATGAAGTTGTTGTAGCTTTAGCTCTAAAGGGTTGTCGAGAAGATGTAAATCTTGGAACTCAAGTTCATAGCTTGGCGATTAGGAGTGGGTTCATTGAGCATGTAACTGTTCCAAATTCATTGATGAGTATGTATAGTAAAACTGGAAAGTTTAATAATGCTAAGTGTGTGTTTGATGGGTTGAAGTTCCCAGATAGAGTTTCTTATAACACCCTGCTTTCGGGGTTCGAAAATGGTAAAGAGGCATTGGTTTTTGTTCATTGGATGCATTCCATTGGGGTTGTTTTCGATGCTGTAAGTTATACTACTGCTATTAGTCATTGTACGGATGAAGAGGAATTTCTTGTTGGTAGTCAGTTGCATTCTCTTGTGATGAGGTTTGGAGTTGATAACGATGTTTTCGTTGGAAATGCACTTGTTACTATGTATTCAAAGTGTGGTTATATAGTGGAAGGTGAAAGAGTGTTTCTTGAAATGTTGTGTAAGGATTTGGTTTCGTGGAATGCATTGCTCTCAGGGTATGCACAGGAAGGGGGATATTCAGGGGAAGCTGCCTCGGGGTTTAGGGAAATGATGAGGGAAGGGGTGAAACCTGATCATGTGTCGTTTACTAGTGCTGTATCTGCTTGTGGACAGGAGAAATGTTTGGAGCTTGCGAAGCAGATACATGGTTTGGTTATTAAAATGGCGTATGGTACTCATGTTTCGGTGTGTAATGTTTTGATATCATTGTATTATAAGTGTGATGTGACTGAAGATGCGAACAAGGTTTTCCAAAGTATGAATGAACGTAACGTTGTGTCTTGGACAACAATGCTTTCCATGAATGATGAAAAAGTTGTATCTATTTTCAATGGGATGCGGAGAGATGGGGTTTACCCCAATCACGTTACATTTGTTGGATTAATTCATTCTATAACTGTCAAGAATTCGTTGACAGACGGCCAAATGGTTCACGGATTTTGTTTAAAGACAAACTTCTTCTCTGAACTGAATGTTGCTAATAGCTTCGTTACCATGTATGCTAAGTTTGAATTAATGGAAGACATGTTAAAGGTTTTTGAAGAGCTCGACCAGAGAGATCTCATATCATGGAACGCTTTGATTTCTGGATATGCTCAAAATGGAATGTCTCGAGAAGCTTTACAAACATTCTTGTCAGCGTCAATGGAGTTACCACCAAATGAATACACGTTTGGCAGTGTCTTGAGCGCAATTGCCTCATCTGAGTGTATTTCATTAAAGCATGGCCAGCGATGCCATACTTGTTTGATAAAGCGGGGATTCAACAGTAATCCAATTGTTTCAGGTGCTCTCCTTGACATGTATGCAAAACGTGGGAGTATCTCTGAATCTCAAGGAGTTTTTGATGAGGTCTCAGACAGGAGTCAAGTTTCATGGACTGCGATTATTTCTGCTCATTCGAGACATGGTGATTATGAATCAGTAATGGCTTTGTTTGAGGAGATGAAGAAGAAAGGCGTGAGTCCTGACTCAATAACGTTTCTTTCTATACTAACAGCATGTGGTCGAAAAGGAATGGTTGATACGGGAATAGATATCTTCAATTCCATGGTTAGAGATTATTCCATCGAACCATCTTCAGAGCACTACGCGTGTATGGTAGACATGTTTGGTCGGGCAGGGAGGCTAAAGGAAGCTGAATTTTTCTTGGCTCAGATTCCCGGAGGACCTGGAATATCCGTGCTGCAAAGCTTACTTGGTGCTTGTAGGATTTACGGAAATGTTGATATGGCAACAAGAGTAGCCAATACATTGATCGCGTTAGAGCCAGAGCAGTCAGGCTCATATGTCTTGATGTCGAATTTGTTTGCAGAGAAGGGGCAGTGGGATAAGGTAGCGAACATCAGAAAAGGAATGCGAGACAAGGGAGTGAAGAAGGAGATAGGATTCAGCTGGGTAGATGTAGGTAGCATTGAGTATTCTTTGAATTTGCACGGATTTTCATCGGATGACAAGTCTCATCCGCGGACTGAGGAGATATATTGGATGGCGGAATGTATAGGTTCAGAGCTGAAACATTTGGAGCGCGACAAAGAAGAAAGTGAGTTCGTGACATTAGCCTGTATTATATGAGTTCCTTGAACCTATATTGCTCGGGCTCTTTAAATATGGCGACAGGTGCATGTCTGATCCTCCAAAAGTAGTGCATTTTTGGAGGATCGAACACGGGTGTGGCATCAATTTTGGAGAGTCCGAGCAACATAGCCTTCGACAAACTACATTCTTATTTTTTGTTGTCCAGAGAACACAACATCCAAACTCTGTAAATTACTTATTGAAAAAGAACTTGTGAAGTAACTGCTTTGTAATCAGTCTTAACATACTGAAGCTGATCTTTCTTACACCATAACAAGGCATTTCTCGAGCGTTGGCAGGTTTTGGAGTGCTTGTCGTAAGACATAACCAGATATATTGTATGTCGCGAGAGCATAATGTATTTTTTTAAAAAAAATCAATCTCGATGGTGGAAACATGAAAATGTTTTGGAGTGCAAGACATAACCAGATATGTTGTATGTTGCGAAAGCATAATGTATTTTTTTATAAAAAAAAATCGATCTCGATGGTGGAAACATAAAAATAAACGCCGCTGCCGGGGATCGAACCCGGGTCACCCGCGTGACAGGCGGGAATACTTACCACTATACTACAACGACTTGTTTGTTGATAAACTATTCATTTTCTTTTCTCAATAACATATTCAACAAACTTAGTGACCATTTAACCATGGATAATTTTCACTTTTTTTTGGAACCTTATTCGACTAAATTGTTTGGACATAGAATTGTTATAATTCTTCGGAATTCAAAAAACTATAAAAAGCAATTTTTACTTTCAAAAACAATTCAGTTCGTATTCATGTACAAACACAACTCCAGTCTCCAAATATATCATTATCAGCTCGAAAACACATATACTACTTTTTATTTCTCCAAATTTCATATTTTTTATGTCCGAATGTCCACGTAAAGAAAGTTAGTAACTTTACATATCTCTAACTTCAAATTCATTTCGATTTTTAACGACAATATCATACATATGAATGGATTTAAACCTATTAAAATCAATTGGGAGGGAAATAAGATGAATTGTGGATCTTTTGTGGTATTGAAGAAGTTGTGGATCATCATAATACCTCTCCCATCCAAGACTATAAAGCTTTCTTTCAAGATTTGCATAACATGTAATGACTTCATTACTAGGAACATGAACTAGAACTTTCCGATGACCGGTCGTGGAGCTGACGTGGCAGTCGCCGGGGTTTTCTAGCCGGACGACACCGTTTTTGAAAATCCAAACACCAGACATGATGTGGAGTTATGGAGGGATGGAGGGAGGGGAAGTTGAATATATGTGAAAGATGGTGTTGTTGAAGAAGAAGAATATAATGAGGGGTTTTATAGGGTTGATGCATGTGTAATATACACACATATATATATATATTAAATAAATAAAAAGTTACGTATAAAGCATTTCACGTGTTCATGTGATGTAGATAACCTACCTTAATGCAAATATTGTTGGTTGCTTCTACGGTTCAGATCTGACAAAGATAACTATTGTTGCTCCAAGATTCCCATTCATAAGTAATATATAATATAAATTGTGCTAAGAAGTTTTATTTTTATTTTTTGAAGAAAAAAAAGAGAAGGGCAAATAAAAGAAGGTTTTTTTTTCAAAAAAATAAAACTATTTGAGGTTCCAACTAATTCAGATTTATGCAACGATCTTTCTTTTTCTTTTCATCATGAATCTTATCCAACCCAATATTTCCACTAAATATGGGACATGAGACATCTCCATAAGTTCATCTTCTTGCTTCCCATGCATGCATTTAATCACAATATATATATTCCATATATGTAAAGATTCATTACTTTTTTTTGGTTATTTATTCGATATTCATATTAGATCTCAACTAATTCAAACTCACCTTACATAAGACTGAAAGGTGAGGAAGCAATCCTACCAAAAATGATTTTTGACAAGGCTTGGACGAGGAGAAGCGCTCTTTATCAAGATTTTTTTCATTCCCATAGGGTATCGCGCGCTTTCCCTTTTACGCCATGTAAGATCATTGGTCATGAGCGCTTTCAATCCCTTTTCTCGACTCTCGAGTATGAAAACAATTTTGGCAGAAATATTTTTCTTTTAAATAGACTTTATGCAGCATAAATCTAAATTAGTTGGAGTTCAATACGAATATCAAACACCATATAAATAACAAAAAAGTAAGGAATATTAAATCTTAGTAAGATTAAATGCATGGGAAGCAAGAAGATGAACTCATAGAGATGTCCATGTCCCATGCATGTTTGGTGGAAATATTGGATTGGATAAGATTCACGATATGAGAAAGAAAAAAAATTTAAATAAAAAGTAACCTAAAGAATTCAAAACTTGCCCATTCATTGAGAAAGTGGCATAGACTGAAAAGAACAAGAAAGAACATAAAAACTATATAATATACTTTGAACCAAAAAATAAAAAACTATATAATATAATCATCTTTCCCCCCCTCACATTGTACATGTGTTGAGAAGACACTTTTCCTTCTCAAGTTAGTGTATATTTTTGGCTATTAAAGATTTTGTTTGTTTGGAGTAAGGTTTATTCCCAAAGAAATTAAGTTCTGCAAAACATATAATTACATGTAATTCAATTTAGTAATAACCTAAAATAAATGGTAAGTAGTCTTTTAAATATTATTTGTGCTATTTTTGAAAAATTATTCTTATTAATATGAGGGACACGTGCAAGGAACAATATGATGTACACAGAACAATTTTTATACATATATTCGTTACTAATTAACGCAATTTGCACATATAAATAATGTATACTTAACTAGTATTAAAAAATGAGCACAAGTTAAATAGCGACATCAAAATCGGGCCTTAACCCCCATGAAAATTGTTGTTGTTGGGCTGTTCTTTATTTTCTGTAATGTGTTTATAAGGCCCAAAGGTATAGCGGGCATTAAAAGAAGCCCATCTCATCATTTGCACTTTTGCTCCAATATTGTTCACATTTGCAATTGTGCTCCTATTTGTGCTTAGTCCAAGACAAAATACTTTTTAGCATAATATAAGTTTATATTTTCTTTATTATAATATTCTACAATTTATGATCCACGTCCTTAAAAAGTTTATGTTTAGCTAGATATAAGTTTGATGTTGAAAGTAAAAATTAAAAATAAACCTATTTGAAGAGCAAATCATGTAATTGAAAGTTTGATTGGTCGATTTGGTGAGCTAAAGATGTCTAAGACCTAAAAATTTCATATCATCTTAGCTTTATTTAATTGCACGATTTTTTCTTCAAATGGATTGGTCTTTACTTTTTGCACAAATACATGATATGAGCCAAACTATCGAGTCCTACCAAAGTCGTAACGACCTGCAGTCTCGAGCTTTGGTGCAGTGATAAAAGTGTGACACGTGATCTACAGATCAGACTCATATCACATATTTGAATCCAACTAAAGAAAAACAAACTGATAGTGATGGTGATTGGGGGTTGGG